CTGAGAGGAACAAGGGCCTTCTCCGCCTTTTCCCCTTCACCACCGGAAGATGGCGAAACCCTAGACGAGGCATTATCTTTGGCCTTTTTATTACCCTGTCCGCGTTTTGTCATGATTATACTACTTAAGAAACGAAGCACTGACGATAGGAAGTGTGGTTTCAACAGAAGTGGGAGAGTCCCTCACAAAATAACGGTTACAGTAAAGAAAGGCAAAGGGGTATATCAGAAAGTGCTTTCCGAAGGATTGAAAATGGAATCAAATCGAACCTCTCTCATACTTATAGGGATAAGCTGCACAGGAATCGAAGAGTCATGATTCAAAACGTGCGCCGGAAACCAAAATGTCACGTCATCCTCTGAACCGCCTCGGGGGCAAATATAATAATGACGCATACAGGCGATGACGTCATTCCAAAAAGGAAGCCGCGCGTCAGTGGCTCAACAACGTCATATTTTTCACTCCATTCGTATTGCCGCCCCGGGTCGAGGTGAAATTCTCCTAAGCCGAGGTTCACATTTTCGCCCATCGAAGACGCCCACCGAATGCGTCTCCAACGAGCGGAGGGACTAACTGTATAGGGTCAAATTTGACCCTCAGCATCTCTACGCCAGTAGGTACGCCCAATAAGTGTATGCCTGCCAATGTAGCGGGTACGACTCGGCCGTGGGGGCAAAAGCGACATCGTTTAGGACTCAATGTCTTCACTAGGAAGACGTTACCTATCTTTGTAACTTTTTTGATTCTTTCGAGGAAGGTCTCCTATTATATAAAGGAGACCTTCACATTGTAAAAAGGGCATCTGATCTAATACAATTCTCTCATTTTTTTTCTGGCTTTCTCTCTCTATCTCTACTTCAAACGAACGTATCTTATTGAGTTCATACTGTCTCTTTACAATACTAGATCTACAACAATATTATCATCTTTGCATCTCTAGGATTATTATGTTTGATTACGATTTACCCTTTTTCTACTTTTGATTGTTTTTTAGCTTACAAAGTATATTGCTAACTTTTGAGCCAAACACTTAGCTTAGGGTGCTAGCTGTTGCTTTATTTCGTATGGTGATCGATAACGCTTTACAATAGTTTCGACAGTTGCTTCTAGAGTAGAAATTTGAGAGATCTTTGACGTTTTCGCTGAATAAATGGTAAACCCAGCAACTTTAACTTTGTTACATTGAACTGAAGCATAAAATTTGACATAAACAATAAAGTATTTTACCCGCAACAACGGGTTGAATCCGAAATGTCCAAATTTCTTCATCATCGTAAAATTGCAGTGATTCTTTCCGCTAAACTGGGATGTTCACGTATCGCGGACTTGAATGTTGAGCCTTCTAAGCCAAATAGAATGAAGAATCATATGAAAAACATCATACCTTTTAGGAGGGAAATTGACCTCAAAATGCCTCCTTACTTGAAGTCCTCTCTTCTGCATTTTAATGTACTGTTTTTGAGATATTGCCATCAAAATCTTCTTCAAATTAGGTATATCATTTGAAGTCATTTCAACAGCAAAACTTTTCCAATTCAAAACATCACTAAAAGGTGCAACATAATGATCTTTCAATAGTACAGGAACACATCCCATGTAAAGTGCTTCAACCATTCTTGGACTAGCCACTTCCCATCCACTAGGACAAATACAAAACTTACTCTTTCTAATCATACCATAATATGAAACATTCTTAGGAACATACTCATGAATTTGCACTTCTTCATCATCATTTTCCCCCCATTGTTCCATTAACACTTGCCTTATGTATCCATGAATACCTCCCGCATAAAAGACTAAAATAGAACGTTGGGACGGAGATGGCCCTCCAATTAAGCCTTTCATTGTGCCTTGAGGGAGATAGATTTCTGGCAAAGTTACATCCTTTGAAGGATTGAATCTTTCAGAAGTGTTCGCGTTGCATAGTACTCTCATCGAGTTCTTGTACAAGTATGGAACCGCTGTGGAAATTTCAGGAGCCTGCAATATATCTATCACTCAGAAAAACGACTTGAGATGTAATATACACTAACTCATATACATTTCAAGAAAATATCAAAATGATCTCGAGACCTTCCATTTACCAAGGAAATGCTGTCCAAAAAGGGCTTAATGAACTATGATTCTTAGGCCTTTGGTTAATCATCAAGTCTTTGAATTAGGAAAGTTTTGTCTGTTGATGCTTTTCTTCAACTTTCAGTACTAGAGTAGTTTAAAAGAAAAGGGAAAAGGTAGTCGTTAGCTAATCGTCTCGTATTTGCTCTTGACTTTAACTCCAGTATGGACCTGCTGAATTCTACGTCCCAAAAAATATTTCAAGAAAAATATCCAAATTTACTCATCTAATTTTTTACTATGGTTTGAGATTATCATTCATTATGTTTCAGGTTGGAGCTCTGTTAAAGTCAAGAGAAAATAATTGCTAACGACATGTATGAATGACCCTAAAGTACAACTGCTAAAATTAAAATATTTCGTATAGTATAGGGGTAAATTTGACCATTTTCCTTTCAAAAAAGGTGGTGATTCCTTACCCAATCATGGCAAGCAAGCATGAAATGATCAGATCCAAGGCTTCTATTCCAATAAGGGTATTTAGTGGAGATACCATCAATATAATCAGCAGCTGTATTCTTCATAGGACCCCATTGGTGAGAATCAACAACATAAACATAGCTTACTATGGAAAACACACTGAATGGAAGGAAGTAAACATGAGCTTTCTCAGGATCATTCGTCCGAAATTTGCTTATCTCAATCTGATGAATCATAATTCCTTCTATTCCAAGGATACCTTCACTTGAACTATAATGAAAAACAGGGGGTTCACCTTCCTCGTATACATAAATCTTGAAATGTTTTTCCATTTCTAAATAGCTCCTGCAAAATTCCAAGTAAAGAATCTTAATTCAATAGCCAATAAGGTTGACAATGACGAAATAGTGACTTCCCTGGAGGAGTATTACATAATTTACTCTGTTGAAAAACTTATGTAATCTTGTATTTTTGCAACCTAGGAACCAAAGACTCAAACATTATTAATATTGAGTTTTAGGTAAATTCTTTTAGGCGAATAACCAAATGGCCTAATATTACATATGTTTATTAGATAGAACAGTAGCGGATCCAAGAATGGGTTGGCGGGTCAGGCATAACTTAGTGTTATCAGGTCAAAGGGGATGCAAAAAAGCAAGTATAAGTTGAGTTAAATATACATTTCAAAACTCACACTTTCAACACGGAACTTATAACGTCTAAATTCTGAATTCAGAGTTGAGATAGGACATACCGAAAAGACATGCTAATCCCTAGTTACCTGTGGAAGGCACTGGGGTTCCAGTAACATGGACCTCTAGGGACATGTTCAGAGTCATCAAATGTTTGATTATTACTATTACTTTGAGCTTCTCTTATAGCACCCCTCACTTTTCCCAACCCAGCTTCAACTCTCTCTAAATTGCTCAACTTTTTCTTGGAAAAAATCATCTGGGGTTTCTTCCTTGTAACATGATCTACACCATCTTGCTTCTACATAAACGTCAGAAAACTATAATTAATTACAACGTGAAAAAAATAAAGAATACAAGAAAGAACAATTCTCTTATATCCATCTTCCCAGGAAAAAATTGTTGGTTGAGCGAACAAAGTCCCGGACTCCCAGTTGAAGAAGCTACATATAAAACGTCAGGCATCTTTGTCTGGTTTAGCCCAACAATATTTAGCATATGTAGCTGAAAAAAAGAAGAAAATAGGCTTACTGGTAGCTGGTCCTTTTCCAATTCTGCTGCAAATTTTGGTGGAGAAAACTCTACAGTAGCAGAGAGATTAGTAGATGTAGTAACATTTTTTGCAGAAGGCTGAGAAGAAATGACCAAAAGAAAGTTTTTTGAACTCTGTACACCCAAATACCATGCAGCTAATAGAACTAATGGCACTATAATTAACCATACAACACTTGAAGGAGGACGATAATACATTAATCCCATTTCCCTGTTTAACTTCTTTTCTGTCAGTCACTAATTATTAAACTACACAAAAAGACATAATTTGTGCATGTAAATATATACACTTCTTGGCGTGATACTTTTGGTTTGACTTTGAGAGGGTAAAGTGAAACAGAAGGAAAAAACTAGATTCCTAGGATTTCATATCACATCTATATATGGGTCCACGCCATAGGCAGAGCGACTCCAAAATTTAAGTTTAAAGAGTTTAGTTTTTAAGATTTTTAGCATTGGACTCATTATAATATTTAAAATTATGGTTCAAATTTAATGGAACTTTAGTAGGTTTATTTTATATATAAATTCAAACTCCGTACCGAAAGGGGCTTGGTTATTTCAGCCACCGACTTGGCTGCTTTAAGCTCCTTGGCGCAACAGCCGAGCCCAGTTGAGATTGGAGTTCCTCGGCTTTCTGGGACTATGCCTAAGCCTTCTCCCTAATCATTCGAAGTTGAGCCTCCGCAGAGGCCAATTGCGCCCGGGCAGTTTCCTTTTCCGAGGCCAAATGGTCCATTTTGCCTTTCCACTCCTCGGCCTCGACCTTGATAACGTCCATCTTGGACCGAAGCTGGTCGATCCGATCGATCATCTGTTGGACCTGCGGGTTCTGACTATTAGTCACCGAGTCTAGCTCATCGTCACTAACCTCAAAGACTTTTACCTGTTCCACCAGGTAGGCATGTTCTTTCTGAGCCGCATCCAACTCAGCCCGAAGACTCTTAGCCTCTTCCTCGCGTTGCTCACTGAGAAGCTTGTACATGTCTCTCTTCTCAGTAAGCTCTTTGGCTTCGGCCTCGAGGAGGCTCAGCTCTTCTCGGTATCGGAGGAAGGTCTTGTGGTGAAGCACCGAGGCCTGCGAATATAAGGAGAAATATTAAAGATTACTAAGTAACAAAAGCTGGAAAATGAAAAGGTTTGTACCACCTTACCTGATTCAGCGCCTGTTGTGATTCGTTGAACAAGCATGGGGAATCCACCTCGTTCATCTTTTCCTGGTCCTCTTCAGTCACCAGGCACCAGAGGTAACTAGCTACCCCAACGGGTGCGGAAAGGACCCGGGCATCCTCCGGAACGGAGATAATTATCGACCGCTTCCGACCGGGATCGGCACTCGGGGCAGGGAACCGGTTGACCAGTCTCGGGATAGAACTGGATCCACCTACCTCCGAGGGTGGACTTTTCCTTGGTACTTCTAAGTCACCCAATCTGGTGACATCCTCTGTGGCGGTCGAGTCCATGCCATCAAAAAAGCTTTTGAGGGGATCGTCTACTCTATGGACCCCCTCATTCGACCGCTCCTTCATCGTTTGAGCTTCAACGAACATCGAGTCCGTGTACGAAGGTGATCCCATTATGTTAATAACAGTGGGTGGTGCAGAGCCAGCATCTTGAGGGTTTTCGACCCCCACTGTTGCATCGGCCTCTTATATATGTGAGGGATTGGCCTCTGTTGTTCCCTCCTCTGATGGCACTCGTTCCTCGGCAGCCGATAGCTCTCAGGCCACTAAAATTTCATCCTCCTCAATCTCGTCCCTGAGCCGGTGGAGTAAGCTCGAGTCAAGCACTCGGGAGCTGGAGGTTTCCTTTGACTTGCGGACCAGCCTCCTCCTCGGTTTCTTTTTCTCCAAGCTTGGGGAGCTCGGAGCCCTCCTCCTTTTCTTTTCTCCGGCCTGCCCGAAGCAGGAGACTCAACGAGCAAGTCCTTGTCGCCAACCAGAGGCCTAAGCTCGACATCCTTAGACAAACCTGAGATACAAAGTAAAGGGAATCAGGACTTGATAATAAAAGGAGAGGCCTAACACGTCCTGATCGGAAAGGGGATCTTACCATGGGAACGGGCCTCCCAACGGCCCTTCGAGAGTTCGCGCCACGAGAGCTCGGAGTAGGGCATATGAGAAACTATACCTTCGACCCACTTCTCGGGGCGAGGAATGGCATTTGGAACCCGAGCAATGACTGCACCATGACTAACACCAATAAAAAAAGGGGAAGTAAACATAAAAATCAATATTAGAAGGGAAGTTCTACTTATGTCTTGTATTCCACTTCTCGGGGAATGGCATACATTCAGCCGGAATTAGGTCCGAAGTCCTCACTCCGACAAACAGCCTTTCCATCCTCGATCTTGGTCCTCATCGATACTAGAGAACGGGGCTTTGCTGGCCTGGAATACAAACTTTATGGAGGAACACTATCCTTTACATTGAAGGATGGATCTGACCGAGGCACACCTCGTACCTCTTGCAGAAGTCTATGATGACCGAGTCCACCGGTCCCAATGTGAAGGGATAAATGTAAACACTCAGGTATCCTTTGACATGGGTGGTAATGGCCTCCTCGGGGTCAAGGACCACTACGGTTTTATTGGCCCAGTTGCAATCTATCCGAACCGTAGGGAGGATCTCTTCAGTAATCGAACATATGTATCTCAAGAAGTCTTCGCACTGGCCCGGTACGTAAGAGGGTTTTTCAACCTTAAAATCGTTATTTACCAAGCATTCTCTGGGGATGAACATTTTCAAGGGGTGTTCCTATACTGGTTCATCGACGGCAGTGCGCGAAACAGTTTCTTCGGCCTCATTAGCCGGCCGCAAAGTAGAAGGTGTTTCTTTTTGGAAACGATTTTTGTGGTCTTTGCCATTTATTTAAAAATGGAGGAGAAATAGAGGAAGAGACGAAGTTGAAGGAGTAAACTTGTTGGCTTGAGATGGAGATGTACAAAGGTTCTTGCAAAGGATCTCAAATAAGCCAGAGTATTTAAAACTCACTACCCAACTGCCTCCTTCAACGCGAACGCGGAAGGGGCCTCGCGTTCGCGAAGGCAAACGGCTCAGACCCCCTGGAGGCTTTACTTCGCGAACGCGACCAGGGTCTCGCGAATACGAAGGCTGGCTTGGCCTACCCCTCGCAAACGCGAAGAACAAAATGGCCCAGCCCAGCCTAGGCTACTCTACGTGAACGCGAGTCGCCTCACGCGAATGCGAAGGTCACCGGCCCCAAACCTTCGCGAACGTAGACTAGCTATCGCGAATGCGTAGCACAATTTCCCCCCAGTCCCAATTCCTTCTACGCTAACGTGATGGTTCCTTCGCGTTCACGAAGAAGGAAACCAGAACTGGGAATTTCTGGTTTCTCACACTTTGCTCCGAGGGGTCCGAAACTCACCCGAGCTACTCGGGACCCTGTCCAAAGGCACTAACAGGTTTGTAATAATAATACGGACTTGCTCGAACTCTCGAAACACGAAAAACATCAACGAAACCAAGAATCATACCCCAGAACCAAATTGAATCAAACTTTGAACTTCAAGTTTTCCAAATTCTCCGAATGCGCCGAATCATACTTAAACTACTCGGAATGACACCAAATTTTGTGCGCAAGTCTTAAATGACATTACGGAACTATTATTGGTCTCAGAATTCCATTTGGACCTCGATATCACAAAAACCCGCTCCAAACCAAATTTAAAGAACTTCAAAATTCTTCAAAAACCAACTTTTACTATTAGGTACCAAAACGCTCCCGGGTCATCCAAAACCCGATCCGAACATACACCCAAGTTCGAACTCATCATATGAACCTATTCGAACCGTCAAATCGAGATTCTGAGGTCGTTCACTCAAAACATTGACCGAAGTCTAATTTGGCCTTTCCAAACCCCAAACTAACCACCCCTGAAAGTCATAAATTAGTAAAAGTAAGTAGGGGAAGTCTTATATAGGGGATCGGGGTTCTAGAAAGCAAAGCGACTGGTGGGGTCGTTACAAAAATAGTGTGTGTTATGGAAATTTGTATCGAATAACCACTATTATCCTTAGCCCCACGGTGGGCGCAAAACTGTTTACCCTCAAATTGGATAACAATTGAATTTGTAAGTGGTTATAAGGATATGTGGATTAGATTGACACAAATCGATAAATTGAATTGTAATTGAATCAAAGTATGATAAAGTGAATTCAAACCACACGAATTGAACAGTAACAACCTTGGGAAGTGAATCACCCTTGAACAGAATGCACTTTGATCAGTATTAAAACATAGTTGAATAAGAACTTTAAAGGGAAAACAACAGTATATTGCTTTGGGATACGTGTAACAATATGTCTTACAAATAATCAGATCCTCTTTATATAGTAGGGAAATCCCACCTCAGGTACAATTCTATAAAAGGTAAAATCCCATGATTTGCTAATTAGCCGGCTTCTCATTGATACGTGCCAAGATTCTCGCGGTGATACCCGATCGGTTACAGATATTTCGCCTTCTGTTATTCGGTCTGGCAACGTTTCTTCGAGCTCATTCGTGGTCAGGGTCGATTCCGGGATCATGGACCCGATGTTCTCGAGGACGGGCATTCTTACTTCGTATCTGGTTCGATGGAACACGGGGTCGATCTTTAACTCATCATGTTTCAATCTCGATCTTTCGTGCAATAAACGAGCCCGATTTCGACCGTATACAGTTGTAGCTTGGAACATAGAGCAATTGGAGGCGAGGTAAGTCTCTTTTCTAACCTTGTAAGAGGGAAATTTCCCCATAGGAGAAATTACTTAATATGTGACTATTTATAGGGGCTATGTACGCAGGAAGTGACGAGAGTCCATACATTGCTACTATTCCTATTATGTCCGGGTAGTTTTAGGCTTACACCACACTTTGTGGATACCGTTGTCTGAACATATTTGTTGATTTGCATTGAATGGAGCTAAGTTGACGAGTTCAAGATTTCAAGTAAATTATTATTTTGAAAAGAATTGAGAAAAGTTATGTTATATTTATATTTAGCCGCGTCGCAAGTATATTCCGCGAGTGGGTGACTCTTTCCACTACTCTCATGGGAGCGGGTCGTTCGCCTCAGCAGGTTAATAGATGCATCCATGGTTTGCACTGTTTGACCCTCGGCAATGCACACTTTACATTTTTATGTTGGATTGGGACGAACGTCCTTAATGGAATTTGTGTGTGATAATAGAACTTGAATCCTTTTTTATAATTGGCATGAATTTACTGTTCTAGAGATCATTTGTTTTAAATGAAGGAAATGTTTTGGGTTCCTAAATTTGATGAAAGAATTCTTCAGTTATTTCTTGTTCTGAGTGTATTGTT